CAATTAGACTCACATGCCAAATCTCCAGGGATTGCTTTGAATAACAGATGGGAGGCTTTACCTTCTTCAGACGGAGACCTAAAATTGGGTGGTATCTGGTTGTTCTTTTTGTAGGTAATAGGGTGTCTGTGGGGAAGGAGCTGTTGCTCTGGTTACATAACTTGTTTATTGTTCTGTGCCTTTAGTTCACTTGGCCATCAATACCTTGGAAGAGCTGCTTCTTCCTAATGCCTATTGTTATCAGACACAGCCAGTCCTTACTAAAGTGCCTCAGATTTCTTTCCAAATATGAAATTATTCCTACTCGATATACAAAACCTGGATCACGGCTTTCTTGCAGCCCTTAGCTCCCAGACTGATGATATTAGCTGAATGTGTATTCCTGCACTGCTACGCAATCTCTCATGTGCTAAAGAACACAGTGATTACTGCCGTGACTTGGGGAAGTCTGCTTTGGCTGGAACAAAGGTAGTCCTATGGTCCATCATATTCTTCTGCCTTATCAAGGCAAATAAGTCAAATGCATTCAAACTTCTTATCTGCAGATAGTTCTCTGCTATTTACAGCTGTAACAACTTGATTACAGCCATTATGAAACATAGCTGGGTTTGGGGAATGACGAATTAGTTCAAAAATCAGCACAGGTGTCTAAACAAGGCAATAGTGTATACAGGGCCTCCTTTCACACCCTCTTTTGGTACATGTGTGAACATCCTTTCTAAGTGCACCGCTTAAAAGAGATTTCAAATTCTCTTTTCATAATGTGAGTTTGCTTGCAATTAATATTTTGCAATGAAGTTTTAAAACCRGCTCTGTAACAAAGGTGCACCTCTTCACTAGATACTTTTTTCCAGAATAGAAGCTGTTTTCTAGACATATTTCCTAAAAAGAAGAAAATAAAGGTATGGCTTCTACTTGTGAATGATTGCAGAGACGTAAGGTGGTTATCCTGTACATTTTTTCTTTATCTTCTGAAAGTGAAAAATGCAAAGTAAAATCAGCATATTATATATAGTTATAATAATTCTCATTCCTTGTCATGGAGACAGGATCCTGTTTGCTTGTTCCCTTCATTTATCCTGTACTGGTATTTGTCAGATTTAACCATTCCTCCTGCTAATCCGAAGACAAGAAGGGCTGAGGTGAGTCTGCAGACTGTTGCAAGCTCTCGATCCACCTGAGCAAACCGTGACAGACCGATAAGTTTTGTAACTCCTAAGAATTTGAAGAAGTATTCTAGCATGTAGCTTCTCAGATWAGAAGGACCTTGTTGTTGTTCTGAGACATAATACCAATGTGGCTCAAGGCTCCTCCCCTTCTTTTCCCTTTCTTTTTTTTTGTTTATTTGTTTAATTTAGTTTAGGGKTTTTTTTCGGAGAATTCTTCAGTCATATCTTTATTTGTATAAAGGATGCAAGCGTCCTGTTCCCAAAAGCATCTCAAATCCTGTCTACAATAAATTCTCCTTTGCCCAAGACAATGTAATGGACCTTTAATAACCAGTTCTTCTGAGCTCTGGTAAATCATGAACCTGATGATCAGAGAGCTAAGGAGAATGCTACTGAAACACAAGAACAGGGCTGCTGTCCCAGAGCAGAGCTGCAGCTGGTTTGTGTGTGGGGAAGCACCTGCAAGTGGAACAAGTGGTTTGTTTCATTATGTCCGAACAGCCTCTTCACCTCAATGCTTCTATTTCTGCTAATGTCATCAAAACATGTATTAATTTTATGTGTGCCTTGCATTTCCCTCTGCAATTGCAGTATCTATTTACTTCCAGCAGTAACTCCAGCATCTAGAGTTTTTCTTTCCTTATTTTACTTGCCAAAGTGCAGAGTTGATGGGGCAGAGCAGGGAGGAGAGGTTTCATTGCTGTGAAGTCATTTGACTTAAAATAAACTTTCCACTTTATCAGTACAGACAGTCATAAGGCAGGATTTAAAGCAAAGTGTAGTCTCCAAGTTAACTACTTTGAACTTGTTAATTTGGGCATACATTAAAAGATGCTTTCAAAAACAGCTTCTCTCAGAACGCTAAGAGCGGATACAAAATCTTACCTCTTCTCCCTCTCCCTTCTCACCTCCAATAATCCCAGCCAAAGGCTTTTTATGAAGCTTGAGAAACCAGACGCAGACAAACAGGAGATTCTGTATCCGAGTATGAAAATAAAGGCATCTTTGAACATTGACTAACAGATTTACCAAGAGGGGGAAAAAAAAAGGCATTGCTGTTCAGTTGTATATAGTGTCCATTTGTTTGTTGAAGCCAAAAGATTTAATTATTTCAGTATGGTCAACAGTTACTCCACTTGGAAAGCAGCTATATATTTCCCACTGCACCAAAGCTAACTAAACTTGTTTTGTGACCCGACTTTGTTCCATCAGCTGGGATGTATATGTTGGGCGCAGCAATGCACATTCAGGCCTCATAGAGGCATAAAGTAACTCTGAGGTTCAGCTGTAGCTTGTCAGTAGTTATGCACAATAGCAAATAACTGTGTGCTAAGGGGGACAAGAAAAGGGGGCCGCAGCTTTGGCTGGAGAGTAGCAGGGATTTTGAAGTTCATGTGTGTATGCAGCTCTGGAGGAGCAGGCCATCCCTCTCCCGAAATGTTAACGGAGTGAGTGTGAAGGGCAGCTGTTGCTCATCCCTGTTGCTTCCCTGCCCCTTGAGTCAGGGCCCCCTTCACACCTCCAGACCTCAACCACTGGCAGGTCTTAAAGCAAGTGCGGCTGGAAAGGGAGCTCGTGAGCTCACCCCGAAGGTGGAGTCGGGCAATGAGATAATGGCCCAGCCACARTGGAAACAGATACTTCATCGCCTCTCCCAGGAGCTCCCTGCTCAGTGAGGAAAAGAAGGAAAYCTAAGTGATGTTAAAGCATGGAAAATAACTGGAGAGAAGGCATTCGAGATAACATTTTGTGACGTTTTGCTAGGTAGTGGGATAAGTCAATATCTTGTCACATCACAGGTCGTATCCATCAGGTGCTTTGCATGTTGACACTTTGGGAAATTCATTTGCAGATCACAGCAGAAAAGAATGAAGTTATTTTGACTGGTAGAGCTGTCTTAAGTATTAACCAGGCTTCTTTTTTGGGAAGGGAATGCCAGTGTGTATGTTTACCTGCCTACTCTCTGCCTGCGCATTTTAGGGCTCCTTCTGATTTCAACACTGCTTTCTTATGACAAATGTCTGCCTCAGTGAAAGCATTTTCAACATCTTACTCTATCCAGAGCCTCTAGGCTATGGAAAGACACTGCATGCCACTTTGCACACACACCAAGTTTCCCAGGAGAAAGATCTAGTTTTGTACCTTCATTCACTCTCTGTGCCTCTACTTTTATCTTCTGTAAAAGCTTCTGCACTGAAAGTGCATTTTTAATTAAATTGTTTGCGTCTTGTATATGCACAATACACTCACTTTGAGGACAATTTATTACAGTGGGATTGTGGTGATACGTAATAAGTCTCAAGAATAATTAAAACCTGTGTTAACATGTGTACCTTTTTAACGGTGATTGAACTTTATGTTGAGTCTGTGTTGGGTCCAAAATCAGATCTTAATCAAGTAGGGTAGAAGAAAGGAGGGAGGGGATGAGGGAAGGAAGAGTCAGTTGTGGGTTCCTGTATTAAATCTTACCAGTTGTAAAACCTTACCAGTTGCTAAACCTTACCTGTTGTGTTAAGAGGTAAAAAGTGTATTATCTGTAATTTTAAGCATTCAACTCACCTAGCTGTTTGTGCTCAGCCTTCTCTGAGGAAGAGGCATAGGAGGTGGGGTAATGGGATGAACCATCTTTTGTCCTTCTCTGTATATGAATGTAGAATTAGAGTTTGATTTAGACCACAGCAGTTTACTTTGAGGGGGAAAATGCAAATACAGCTTGAGCAGGCGTCAACTGCAGCGTGAAGTAGCTGAACAAAGATTTGAATAATTAAGGATTTCCAAAGAGAGTACTATAAACTGCCTTTCTCTTTCATGTTAGGGAGCTAGAAATCCATGTCACAGTCATAAGATGCATGATTTTGATTGAAACTTTTGAGTTTTGGCAAAAATAAGCATTGGGTTTGGGTTTCTACAGTCCAGTTTTTTAAGGCCAGAGCAGTTTGAGTCCAAGGCCATATCTACAAAAGGTGAAGATGTTTAATACTTTTTCAGTTCCTGAAGAACTGAACAGATATCACAGAATGAGTTGCTGAATCTGTGGAAACACTATTAAAGCACTATTAATTACATTTCTCCTACCCCCCACCTCAACACTGTAAACAAAAGTTTTGCATTCATAATAGCTTACTAGATTCAAAGAGAGAGGATGAGAAAGGGGCCTGATAAAGGTCAATGATCAGAGTTGTATTACATGCAAATAGCTTAGTTAGCTTTGAAAAGTGTAATTTATTTTTCTTTGCTTAAAAGTGTGGTTTTATGCTGGCTGGTACATAGTCTGGCTTTGCCAGGGACAGCAGGTGCATTAGCAGTGGAGTTTTCAAGCATTCTGTGATGTCCTGTCATACTCAAGTCAAGCTGAGGCTTGTAACTTTTTTTGAAATGGGTGGTAATTCTGAAGATGCTTATTGCACCAAATTTAGGAGCTATACTGGAGATTAAATGCCAGCTGGGCCTGGAAGAGAATGTTGAGTCTCTGGAAAAGATCCATTTGGATAAAACTGGTAAATCAAGTAAGAGCTTATCTAATTAAAGAGCCCTGTTTGCATAAATGTCAGAGCACCTGTGCTGCTACTTACTGTCTGAGGCAAATTTTTATTACTTCATAAAATTATTGTCAGTGAACATGCAAGGCCAGCCTTCCCAAAACAAAAAACAAGCAACAAAAAACAGCAACAACAGAAAAAAAAAAAAAGGAAAGAAAAAAAGTTGTGTCGTTGTTTTGCAAGTGTGAATAAAATGGGGAAAACCTGAGAGGGATGTATGCATTTCTCTTTCAGGCTGCCACTGTTTTCCAAGAATGATTGTAAACTGTTTCCTTAAACTGTTTCCTTACAGGTTGTGTCAAACGCTGCTGGACAAGGGGTTGCCATCACTGGGAACAACACTTTCAACAACTGGAATTGGCCTAATGCTGTGATCTTTGCTGCTACTGTGATCACTACAATCGGTAAGTAACAATATCAGCTTTCCTACCTGCAATTTTACATATGMCCTGGATGGGTTTGTACTGTATTATTTCTGTGTCAAGATATCTTCTCAATAAAGCAGATATCACTGGAGCTAGGTAGAATATTTGTCTTTTACAGATGAGTTCATGGAGAAAACCAGTTCTTTGGCACTCCGTCAGTGGTTGTACATGGGAGAAATGCTGCCCTTTCTGATGAGTGACTGGTTGAAGGTGCTTGTATTTGGGATGCCTGGGGTCATTCCAATCAATTGTGCACTTCAATTTATAGATCATAAAATCTAAGAACAAACTATTATAAAATAGTTCATTAAGTTGAAGCCAGCACGATTATATGAAGTTGTTGTGTGGCTGTCCTGCTACTCACATGCACCCTATTAAGCTACTGAATTGGCTTTCAGAACAGTAGACTTTTATTCTTCCATTCTTAAGAAAGCAAAAAGATCAGGTGTTCCCTTATAAATCTCACTGTTAATTTGTACTTTTAATATACTCTGCACTCAAAGACTTCTTCATTTGAAGTATTAAAGAGCTCAAAATCATCTACATTCTGCTTTTTTAGTAAAAATCTTTGCAATAAGATTTCATTACATTCTTATTATGCCTATTATATAAGAAACAAGAATGCAAACTAACTAGAGAAAGTTTGAAGTATGCAGAAATGGAAAACTTACTATTAAACTGTATACASCATCATGTTTTTCATATTTTAAACTCATAATATCCATCTTATAATGTAATTTATCACAAAAAGTTGAAGAAATTAGGAACTGACCTAAATAAGAAAACTGTGGTAGGGAGTTATAAAGTAGACTGATTTTAGAGCCAGAGTTTGCAATGCATTATTAGATTCTGTAGCCAGCAAAAAGCTAAATTCGTTCAAAAATACCTTATTGTGTCACAACTCATCATTCACTTCACCCATCAACTCTCCCTGTTTAGACACCAGATCATAATGTAAATGTGCAWAATGGAACTTGGAAGCTAATTTGGGAGACAATATTGAACTATTACTGTCTAAGCTGATTCACATTAATACTCAGGCTTTTCACATTGCTGCTGGAGGGAGGGAAATCATGTCAGAGGCCTTGAGATAAATTTTATCTTCTATTTATCTCATCTAATCAAGAAAAAGATGCACATAGTCCRGGAAACATTCAAAATGTAGCCTTCCTCTCAGTCTACATTAATAGAATACACATCTGCTGGAGTAGGGTTGGAAGGTATCCAGATTCAGAAGATTAGCAGCTGGAGGAGACTAAAGCTGTTATGGATGGTAAAGTAAGGAGCATCTGATACTTAARAAGCCTACGCAGTGTTGTTTTATGTATAGGTAGAATTACCTTGAATTCTCTGTAACAAGAACAGACCATGTACCTATTTACCTCTTTTAGGTTACGGAAATGTTTCTCCAAAGACACCCTCTGGGCGTCTCTTCTGCATATTTTACGGGCTCTTTGGAGTTCCTCTCTGTTTGACATGGATCAGTGCTCTGGGGAAGTTCTTTGGAGGACGTGCCAAGAGGCTGGGCCAGTTTCTGACGAAAAGAGGAGTAAGCCTGGTAAGGTTCTCTGCTTGTTTTTCCCCCTGCTGTGTATTTTCAATGCATGAATTAAGCTTAGACTTCTTCACTCACCTGCTAATCGTGGTAGTAAGCAAACACGCACGAGTGTTAATTTTCCAAATGATGTTGCATAGATATAACTGACCATAGGACTAGATCCTGTAGAATGTACATTCTGCTAGAAATCTTATCAAACTGAGGGCCCGAAGAAAGCTTTGAATGATGTTAAATTTAAATATGGTAACATACARGGAGATAAATGTTTTCCTTATAGTAGAAACTGTAGGTTGAATGTAGGTGAGTTTGTAATTTCACAAACATTCCCTTCAAGCATCTCTGGTACTGAATTGAGCTGTGCTGCTTTGTTCCCAAGCACTTTTATGACAGCATGAGCATTTCCTGCAGTGTAGTGAACCAGAGTAGAAATGATATTTTGTTCTGTGTGATTTTCCTCCTTTCTCTCTGTCTCTGTCTCTGTCTCTGTCTCTGTCTCTCTCTCTCTCTCTCTCTCTCTCTCTCTCTCTTTCTTTCCCTCCCCCCTTCCCTCTCCATTCTCCCTTTTTCTGTCTTTCTTTTTCTTTCCCTCCTCCTTGCCATGTGCATTTGTTTCAGTTCTAGCTCAGTGCACAGTCAGGAGGCAATGCAGGGGCAGGATGCCTGGAAGAGGGTGGGGCTGGTTTGGGCTCTAATTTCAGCAACAGAGCTGGCCTAAATGTTAATGCAATGAAAATCTTATTGGTTCAACACCTGAGAAAGTACAGAAAATGATGGTGAAATACACGTGTACGTGCAAACTGTGCAGAGGTTAGGCAAGGGGCATAGAGGAGGGAGGACAAATAAGAGAGAAACACCCTAGCCCAGCTCCTGATCCTTCATGCTCAAATGAATAAAGTGAAAATCAGGGAAAGAAATTGCTGTAACTAAAAGTCACTGGCTGAAGTAARCATTGAAGTAAAGGTTTTTCCTTTATGTAGAACAGACTACTCTTATAACTATTTACTCAAAAACTATTAYTTGTTTTCAGGTTATTTCCTTATATTTAAACTTTTAGAATGGGTGAAAGAGAAGAGTTCTTGATATTTTATAAGTAGGTGTGTATACAGACATAGCATTCTGGTCTAAAAAGCACAGTTACTATCTCTGTTTTTTTTCTTCTTCTTTCTTTACAGAGGAAAGCACAAATCACGTGCACAGCTATTTTCATTGTTTGGGGTGTCTTGGTACATCTGGTTATTCCTCCATTTGTCTTCATGGTAACTGAAGGCTGGAATTACATTGAAGGTCTCTATTTCTCATTCATCACTATCACCACCATAGGATTTGGAGATTTTGTTGCTGGTCAGTAGTTGTATTTTTCATATTATTACACTATGTGGACAGCCTGGCAATTGTATTTTTAACAAAGATTTGAGAGAAGCTGAATACTGCTGTTATGAATTGGATCCAGCTTCCCTACATTAGTTTAGATACTTCAGCCCTTGAGCCATAGAGCAAAGTTCTGGGGTTCATAACACTCTCATATGCCTCAGATCCCTATTTGAGGCTAAGAGTTTTCCTATCCACCATAATAGTTAAGCACCTTGGAATGGGATCCTGTGTGCAGAGCAGGGAGCATCAGATGGAGGAATGTGTTCTGGACAGCCAGAACTAATTGACAGTAAATGCTGAACATCRTGGTCCTCCCCTCTAAACACTGCTTTTCTCTAGAATACTGCCTTGATTAGGCCTTTGGAGATAATTCCACTTGCAGGATCTATCACTTTGAACGCTCTCTCAAGGAAAACTAGGAGCAGGGATACTGCGTGTATTTTTTGAAGAAAACAAAATTCACTTTAGAAATTACAAGGGGAGGACAAACATGCTGCGGTTTTATGTTGTAGTCCAGTGCTTAGAACATATACAGGCAAGAAGTGGAAGACTCAACAGAAGTGGAAGGATCAACTTCCTCCGTCGGGAGGTTGTAGATCTCCACTTACCGCTTTTTAGATCAGCTTCCAAACAATAAGGCTCTGTAAGTGTGGGAGGGACTACTTTACTTTGAAGCCTTTTTAGTTGTGAGTCATCTTCTAATAATGTTCTTGTTTTGACTTCTTTATAGGTGTAAATCCAGATGCAAACTACCATGCCCTTTACAGATACTTTGTGGAGTTATGGATATATCTGGGCCTGGCTTGGCTTTCACTTTTTGTCAACTGGAAGGTCAGTATGTTTGTGGAAGTCCACAAAGCAATCAAGAAACGTCGGAAAAAAAGAAAAGAGTCATTTGACAACCATCCTCGGTCTAAAAAACCTCTTCAAATGGGTACCTCAAAGGATGTGAACATTTTCAGCTTCCTTTCAAAGAAGGAAGAGACCTATAATGATCTTATTAAGCAGATCGGGAAGAAGGCCCTGAAGACAAATAATGACAAAATGATTAAAGTGGAAAATGTCAAGCAAAATATGCAGAATGCCAGTAAAGATGCTCAGGTGATTTACACAAAGACCAAGTCATTTGAGTATGATGAGACTTCCATAGACATTCAGAATAGTCATGTGCTGAGACACCTGCATGATAAACGTGTTGGAGATGGCCCTTTAGAAGGAACAATGTTTGTAAATCAACTAGACAGGATCAGTGAAGAAGAAGGGGAAGTGTGGGACTCGAGAGACTATCGACCCTTAATCTTTGAGAATGCCAACATAACATTTGTAAATGAAGATGATGATGAAGAGGAGGATCTCACAGATGATGAGGAAACTTCAAAATCATCCATGGATGATAATCTTGTAGAGGAACCTGAAACTGCAAAAAAACTAGTAAAATTCCCATCCTCTGATGAATCTACCTTCACCAACAATGAGCTGGAACTTTCTGTGCCTTATGAACAACTGATGAATGAATATAATACAGTAAGCAATGTGAAGGCTGCAACGTGAAGCACGTTTGACAATGGTTTTCGGAAACTGGTCAGTGCATACTGAACAACTTAATGGAGCAAGGAGAAGAGCACGTCTTGCATTTTCTTCTCTCTCTCTGAAAACAAAAGCGAGACCCAAACTATTAAACTCCAGTGTCTTTTTTTTTTTTTTTTTTTTTTTTAAAGAAAGCTTTTAAAATAACAGTTGGATTTGGAGTCCTTCCCCTTCTTGGGATTTTATAGTTCCTGAACAAATTAGAAAAGAAAAGACTAGTTATTACACTGGACCTGCTCTGCATTTGTGCATTTCATGGAGAAATTAGTTTGGGAGTGAAACTGTACTGTTGTGGACAGACTGTTTTGGGCATCAAATGTGTCCAGTTACTCCAGTAGCTCTTCACCTTTGAAAACTTGGATTTGAACTCTGCTTTGATCACAGATGGGGAAAAAAGAGGAGCATGAGGTTTTTTAGGTGCCTGTTGTTAGTTGCTACCACAAAAGAAATGGTACAACAACTAATTGTTCTTAATGAGAAACTTGAGATGGAATACCAGGGCACACAATCTAAGCTGATGTGCATTGACAGACTGAAGAAGCTTTTAAAATACCTGCTTAGAATACATTAGTGCTGGTCAAAAGACAGTGAATATTATTTGTGTGAATAATTTTGTGAATTAAAATTCCAAGGGAACGGATTGAGAAGGAGCSCTCTAATGAAGAAAACTCATTTGAGATGAAGCTCACCTGTTGGGCAGCTAATCTGCACATCAGCCCCAGAACCGTTAAAGATAAATTGACTGGAAGAACTATTGATCAAAGCATATACAAGCACAAGCAGGTTGCAACTTTGTTTTTTTTTAATGTTGAAAGTGTCCTTCCACTGTCCATTTCCTAGAGGAAATACTTGAATGAACCTTATACAGTATCTATGTACAGGTGAAGTTTTAGTGACGCTGTTCTTCTGAGAAAAAATCAGCTTTGGAGGAGCAGACASTCTCCAGATGCCCTGATGCCTGTCAGAAGGGACCTTTAGCACTGCTGCTCTAGGCAGTGTGTTTGTCAGTATTGTTGTTTGCTGTTCCTCCTTGCCTTGGTACTTCAGACTAGACTTGAATGAGATAGTTTCTGAAACAGTTGGTTCTACTTTTTTTTTTTTTTTAAAAAGCCTGATCTGTATATGTACAATGGTTATTCTAAACCACTTTCAAGAAGGCCGGGTAATGTCAGATTTTGTGTAAAAGTGACATGTTATTATGTGACTTAAGACTGTAAGGCACTTTGTTAAAGCGGACTTCAGCTCTGAGCTTTAGAAAGTATTATGAGTTGACTTGGAGGTGGGCTTCTCATTGATATAGAGAAGTATATCCTTTAATAACGTTTAAGGCCAAATTTTTGCCTATAAAAAAAAGTATACCATGGTTTTTATTTTTTCTTCCTTTTTTCCATATCTATGGATTAATCCAGGCAACTCCTTCAAATCAGGCTCTTGATCACATGCTGGCAGAAAGTACTGATTTCAGTTGTATCAAACATTCTTGGAACAGAAAATTGCCAAGACCTTTGAACTTATTATGGCAAGCTCTGTTGTTTTGTTTAGTTTTACAGTACTTAAGTCATTCCAGTATGTCCTAAAGTTTCCAAAGTTCAGTGAGCACTTAAAGTTGTCTCACTTTCATTGTCGTGCTGGCTGACTCATTAGCTTTGTAAGAAAGGTTTATGGAATCATGCAATGCTAATCTTGATTTACTAAGTTTCTAATAACTGCAAATAGTGACTGCTGCTTGAATTGCTGRCCTCTCCTTCCTCATGAGGAAGAGGACACATGGGAATCCATCTCTCTAGCTGGATATCCCGTTGACAAGAAGTTTTGAAGACAYCTACTGTGAAACAGGGGAATGATTTTATTAATTTCTTTTTAGAAGCTTACACATTTATGAGATTTTCAAATAGAGAGTTAACACAAGGCCAGGACCTACCTGGGCAGAAATGTGGGATCGACATCATTGGATTCAGCAGCTAATTCATATTTGATGGCAATATTGATGAAGGGAGATTCCAATTTGAAGTCCAGTTGTGTTATATTTCTACCATTTGGAGCGTGGTTGGCTGGATTGTTTTGAGTTCCAGCTGACAGGAAAGAGGGAAAGGCCTCACTGAGAARGTTCTGATTTAGCTCTAGTAGATGTTCCCTCCTCCCCCACCCCATTATTTTAAAAGTACTCCAAGTCCGTCAACTATTTTGTTGTGTATGAAGGGTTGTGGCTGACAGCTGTACCTTGCAGCCACAAGTCATTATAAGACAGCATATATGTTAAAAAAGGATGCTTGTGTAGCAAGTCTAACCTTCACCTTTAAAAAAAAATGCATATTAACTTATGAGAAAATAAAAAAGCACTCCATACATCTTTTGTTGTCCTTCAACTTGTCTTCCATTATTGAGGCAAAGATCAAAGTTTTATCAGGAGATAGTAAGCTATGGGGCAGTGAGGACAGAAAAGGCTTCCAGGTGGAAAAGCATAGCCAGAGCATGATCTTCATCTCCTAATCATAAATAAATAAATAAATAAATAAATAAATAAATAAAGGCATCCTCTTTAATATAGAAATAATACAACCCAGACACTTGGCTGGGCTTTTTGACTGGGAGGGGATATTGCACACTGAAACCCAGACTCTCCATAGTAGAGTGCACTTGTATGGTAGAGCTGAGGAAGGATGGGATCTGTTTCATATTATCAAGCTAGATGTGGCTCTTTGGCCTTTCCCAGTGCAATCAGCATAGACTATAAGTCTGCATAACAAGCATCATGGGATTTAAAGTAATGGTTTAAATTTATTAAAACAAAGTACAAAATTCCCACTTTCGGGGAGAAACATGATTACACCTCACAAAACTATTCTCAAGACATCCCACCATGTGCCTTAATGTAATTTTAATGCTGGGGAAAAAAATATCTTTGCACGGGGGCCAGCACAAATGGTATGTTGAAGATAAGCCATACTAGTTCTCTGTTTTTTGGAGGAGTTTATTTGGCRCACAGTTTTCATACTGGCTCTCTGCAAATAGTTGAACCATTTCCCAGGGCTTTTAAAATTATGGTGCCATCTCAGAACATCTCAGAGTGCTAAACAAGACAGCTTTTTGCCTGCTTGTCTTCCACATCTTGAGAAAAACAGCTGCCTGAGGAACTAAAATTAGTGTTGTCTTTCTGCCTTGAGATTTACGTATAGTGAAATAGAAGAGTGTCTAGGCTGAGTTTTGAGCTATTCAGCCTTAGAAGTACCTGGGGTAATTTGGGGGGAATTCCCCAATGCTATTTGGTAAGGTCATATCATTATTTCAGTTATTCTGGCAATCTGGAAACATTTTCTTTGGATGCCATTTTAGATTTCGTTTGGCAAAAGAGCAATCTTCATAGCTTTTAATTCTATTTAATTGATTTTTATAGGTGAAACAGATCTCTCATTGGAGAGAGAGAGAAGGGGATGGGTATAGATTTATCTGTTTGTTTTAAAGCAAGCCTATAAGGATGTATCAAGAAGGGATGCAATAAAAGTGAAAATACTTCTTTCTAGCTATTGTCTGCAAATATTTTTTTTCAATCACTTCTAGGCTATTGTGTTAAAGTTAGGTCCACTTACACAATATTAATTTTGTCAAAATGAGTCAATAATTAAAAAAAAAAAAAAGAAGACTTTTTTTTTAAAGCAAAAAAAAAGGTCTGTCCCTATGGTATGAATTCGGAGACCCTATCCTTCAAGAAATCATTGAGACACTTCTTACTTTTATGTCTTGTGTTATTGAAACCTGTTTGAGGGTAACCAGAAGGGCATCAGTAGCAGATACATATCTCATGGCAGGCAGTCTTAACACACCTGATACACTGGTACGAAATCATGGAGAAACTAGAAAGAAGTCTTGTTTTATGTTTTTTTTTTCCGCTAATGATTTGTGAATCTGTTGCTGGCAATGGATGTCACAAAACATGCAGAAATAAAACAATAGACTGATAACAAGTCTAGTATGACACAGTTGTTTATATGTTGAGATATTTTTTTCTCCAGTTGATCTGGGAGAGTACAGGTAAAGATAGACGAGCCTTGCTGATAAGGAGTGCAAAAAGCAATATACAAGTCTGTTGACTTAAACAGAAACCTAAGAACTCTGTTGTAGACTTGTAATTTTTGTGCCTCATGGGCTTTGTTCCACTTGCGATACATTTACCTTTTAAAACCTTTCCTTGTCTTTCATATGGCTTTTGAAGTTTGTACAGTCCTGACTCTGTCACTCCATAATATACCTGTTTGTTCTTTGTTGCTGATCGTCACTGGAATCACACTGTATGTAAATATTTGCTAAGTCTTTGTAAAATGTAATTTATTTTAATATTTTGAAATAAAAAAATGACAATCTATCCTGTCTGTCACGAGGATGTTAACAATTGAGGAAGGAGATTTGCTTTTACAATTTCCTACATACATAATCCACCTCACACGTGAGGCTGATTGTGTTCCAAACAGCTTGAAGGTAAGGAGCTGTTAAAGCAAGTTGTTTTTTGCAAGCAGATGCCTGCATTTATATGGAATATTGGTGACTTCAGTAGCATCTGGTCTTCAGTTGGATACAGCATAGTGAATTGTAGAACAAGGATTACGGACAGCTGTTGAAAGAGGAACTAAAGTTTATTCTAGGGGCTGAGCTTTTTGGGGAGGGCGGTTAAAGGAATGCACTGAGACAGGAAGTGTTAGAATTGATTAGTGCTTCAATAGAACAAAATGTGCTTTTATGGTGGCTATCTGAATGCCAGAGATACTCAAGTATCTGAGTAACTATTAATTGTTTCTTTCACAAGACTTTTAGCAGTTAGGTCTAGCATTATTTGCAATCCTGTTCCTCTCCAATAACTTCCTTTCAATACCTTGCAAAACATGTAACTGCCTGCCTTGAGAATTAACAGAACACATTTCAGTAATACCCAGGATAGATGTCTGTAGAAATGAGGACAGCCCTCACAGAAGTGAGGGAGAAGAGATTGAACCTTATTTTTTTGGCAACCAGACCAAGTCATTGAGATGCCTTGAGCTAGGAAAGTGAGGATTTGTGCAGTCATTGAGGTGCAAGATAGGAAAGTGGAGATTTGTGCAGAAACAGGAGGGAGAGGTAATGCAGTCATGAGTGTAGGTCAATGCCTACATTAGCCCTTAGCCCCACAAGAATTCTCCTGAACAGAGTTTCCTCCACAGTAGTGGAGGGAGAAGAGGTGCCAGACTAGTGACTGATGCCAAAACCAGCCCGAGCAGAAGGGAGTTGGGATCCCCTGACAGAGCCGAGGGCAAGACATAATGCTGAGCCTGGTAAGCACCTGACAACATTTCTACCAGCTCCCWGCAAGTTAGAGTCCACAGACTAGTGTCCACCTGTTGCCCTCAGTGTTTCAGTGGCGAATTGGTAATTTTGTGTGATAGGTAGCAAGAAGCAGAAAAACAGGATAAACCTGTATCTGTTAAGCATCTGTTCGTATGGCCCATGCCCGACTGTGTGTTCCTCTGTAAACACAATAGCCTAATGCATAAAATCACAGAACAGMCAACGTTTACAAAAATTAAGTCTTTTCATGGGACACTCATTGTAGCTCTTTATAAGGTGTGGTGCAAAATGATACCAGCGATCTGCAGCTCATGGGAAGGYAGAACTTGGACTTTCGATTCTGGTAGATGAAAATGGTGAAATAGGAGGCTCCGGTGCTGTTCAGGATGATTTTAAACAAAATGCTAGCTGTGTCTCTTCAGTGCATTTTTCTGTAGTTAGATGTGTATCTTAAAGAAGTAGTAAAATATCTCAGCCTTGTTATGCAAGGCTCTGCCATTGGGATGGAGTACTTTGCTCTATGGTTAGAACAGGAAGGTTGATTTTTGTTGTTGTTTTTGCATTAAATTCATGTGCCTTTTAGCACAGTTTGCCTCAACTTCCCACTCACATGATAGCTAATACTGTAATTCAAAGGAATAAAAGTTTGGACTGAGTGCAGTGTTCCTTAGACTTTGGCCTCCTCTGGCTCCTTCGAGCACACGGGGTGGTCCTGCACTGCCTGCAGACTACGGGCTTCCTTATCCGCATACCACTCCTGGGCTCCTAGCGCTAGCGTGCCTACGGTTTACGCCTGACGCYACATCTGAGGAGCGGGAGGGAGCGGCAGCTGGAAGCAAATCCAGCCCTGCCCATAGCACACACCGCCACCGCCTGCCCAGGGCCGCACATCCCGGCCACGTGCCCCCGGCAGCCCTAGCTCTGATCAACCCCACGGTCCCATGGCCTCCCCGGCTCAACGAGGGTTGTGTGCTGCCCCAAATCCGGGACAGAAGGACTGGGTGGGGAAGGCAGAAGCAACACAAACTTTCCTCAACACTTGTCCTTTTCCCTCAGCCTGGGGAGAAGAACCCTGTTACTTACTCTCCTGAGAAAGAAAGAGCAGAGCGGGAATAACTGGAGGAAAGGGGGCTGTGGCAAATGGTGGGGCTCAGCTGCAGATGGTGGGGCTCAGCCTCAGCTTCTGCTGRGCTGGTGTCCCTGCTCTCCCACTGCACTGGCTCTGGAGCCAACAGTGCCAGGGCCTTGTCCATGACGCCGGGGTTGGGACCATTCAGGTGGCTGGGCTGATTCACCCCTCACCATGTCACAGTAGCCAACACTCAGCCCAGCCTTTTCCTGGCAGGCTTGTGTGGTGTTCACTTGTCTGCTCAGATGTGATTGGCACTTCTATGTCTTATCCAGCTTAGGGTATTTAAAGGGCTTGTTTGGTGATTGCTTTTCACTTTCATGTTGTCAGGCACCTTCTTTCTTGAAGGCAGCTCATGCAGCTTCTGTTGACTCATGCTCAGGTAAGGTCCCAGGAGAAAGGGCTGTGCTTCTGCACCACCACACACCACCCTTTCTTTGAGGTCTACCCTGGCTCCTGGGGAAAT